TTTTAATTTGTTTGGGTTTTTTCCTCCCTTTTAGTTTCTTTCTTTCAAAAGTCCCTGGAAGTTCTCCAGCTGCCTGTGCGTACCCAGAAATACCTCACCTCCCCACACCCCAGCACTTCTGCCCCATTCAGATCCAGGATCTGGCACTGTCTCTCAGGCAAACTCAGAGCTAAGCAGACACCCCAAAGCTGGACATGCCTTCTCATTGACATGCAATTCTGGTGTCTTCTTCCCTCTGAATACCTGTGGGGGGGCACTAACTGAAGCCTCAGCTGCAATCCATTCCTAACACCTTATTTTCAAAGATTGCAGCAGGACTGACTCTAGTCTTGTGAAATACCAGATGAGAAATTGTTACAGTGCTGCTACCTCCTAATCCTCCCAAATTATTCTGCTATAGAAGCTGCCTGGCTGGTTACCTAGGCTCATCTCTTCTACACTGATGTATTCAGGAGTGCTCCCAGCCACTACAGACATGCCGCAGGTCCTCATCCTTTCAGGAAGGGACAGCTCAGCATCTCCATCCTGCTCGGTTTGAATGACAGCTCAGCAAGTATATCAGGAGTAACACGGCCAAATGACTATATTAGTACAACAGCTGTATATGGGAAATATTAACAAACTTGCAAAGAAAGGCTAATCACTAATTGCAGACCCTAAGAAAATTATTAAATTGAAACTGAGACCCTGATATAAAACTGCAAAATCTAACTCTATCACTGTATTCCTTTATTTTTTGTATAGCATTTATAAATGAACTGTTTGATTGAGGCTTTAATAGTAACTGCTAGTAGCTTAGGAAGATCGTTCAGCGAAAAGCAGAAACAGAATTTCACGTTGTTTTTCAGAACATGACTGAGAAGAAGCTCCTAAATCTTTAATCATTATCAAAATATACACTTCAGAACCTAATTTTATAAATCAAGTCTGCAGAATCTGGGTACACAGCTCTGTCCTACCTCCTATGTTGTTTTTCTATAGTAGATATATTGCAGAATGTTAAAGAGTTGTCTTAAAGCTCAAGTTTCTAGGACTGTATTTACACAATTACGTAAGAACGTCACCTTAAAGGGTCTCAGAGATGCAAAAGTACCCCAACCCTTTAAAATTTGAACTTTGGTAAATCGGACAATAAGAGGCAAAACTGCAAAGAAAAACAAAACTCCAACAAAAAAAAAAAAAAAAAACAAAAAAAAAACACAACTATTTTATAGTTTGTCTCAAGACTCAGGGAGTATGATTTTATGATTTATGCTATTTTAACTCTTTACATGGACAATACTGATTTCAGTAAAAAAAAAGCTTTTTTCATTTTGATTCAAAAGAGGCTGACAGCAATATTGCTTCAGTGAGGGTGAATACACAGATTTATGTTAGTAGGCAAAATTAACCAATTCTTTTGGATTTGGAAAATCGTTATGAAAGAATATAAACTGTGGGGAGAAAAAAAAAAAAAGTGAAAAAAGTGAAACAAACAAACAAAAACCCAACAAAACAAAGCCCTAAAACTATGGGCCTGGACTTATTAAGGGAAGTAATCTGGTGAATAACTGCGCTCAGTGAATAAGTGGGAGATAATTGCTTGCTGCTCCCAGGCTGTCCCAAAAACAAACTATAGCCTTTCTCCAAGCTTTAGTATCTGGAAATATCATAATTTGCCTACACAGTGCAATCTCAGATGGAGGGTGAGCAAAGCCTTATGCCTCTATATTGTTCAGTTCTCCTCCTCAAAACTTAAATACAATTGTAAGAGCCCGAGTGAAGGCTCCCTGACTTACTCCACCGAACAACCTTTTTTATCTGCACGGGTAGGACCAGATGGAGGCATGCTAGCAAGCCCTCTAGTGTCCACCTACTGCATGCTTCTATAAAACACAACGACATCGAGGAATGAATGAAAACAAAAACACTTTCAGCAATAAGATATGCTTCCAAATTCATGGTACCCAACCACATCTTTGGAAAAATAAAATCTATAATCAGTGTTACTCTTGAATATAAAAGTGCCAGCAATTACTGAGGGCTATTTCTTAGTAAGAATCTCTAATGTTGTTATCTTCCTCATCATACATTTGGAATAAACAGAGATACAAGTTAATTATTGAAGGCCACTTCGCAGGTCAGCAGCCAACCCAGTTTCCCAGTGAAGTATTTTGCTCCATGGGGCCACAGCTCCTTTGTGCCTGAGACACCAAGCATGTTTGCCCAGACTCTTCCTTGCAGATTTGTATCTCCTGGTTGCTGGAGATTACAAAACTTATAGGTCTAAACCCTATGACTGAACATAAACTCCCCTGAAATTTTAGGAACCACAAAACAACATCCAGCAGCTAATAGTAGCATCCTTGATTAAACTTGTTCATTTGGGATGAACCTGCTGCATTTCAGACAACAGTACACCTTTCCACCCCTACGAGGGAAGTCAGTGAACATTGACCTGAGCCAACAAGGGTCCCAACATGCATGTCAGGAGGCTGCTGAGCTTCAGCGCTAACCATGGATGACAGACCAGTCACTGGGGGTTCTGTGGATGGCAAGAGGTCTCATTTCTGTCTGACTAGAAAAGGAAAGATGAAACAGAACCTATGGGAGCTTCTAAACAGCTCAATAGCTGTCATTTAAGTCTCTGTTCCTTCCAGTGACATCAGGAGACTACAACACAAGAACCTTGAGCCAAGAGAAAAAGTCTCCTCTCTAAAGCCTGTTCTGTTGCACTGTACTAACCTCTTCTTTCTTTCCCTGCTGTCCTATTACACTTTGCAATGGAATTGTAAAATTACAGTAAGGCATCGATGAATCTTGCTCTCTCATCCAGGGGCAGTTAAAAACCAAAGATTTCTATTGTTTCTTATTCACTCAGAGGCCTTTTTACACTGCTTTGGCACAGTACAAGGCTGCCAAGTGGATGCAAACCTCCCCCCCACCCCTTTCACCTCCAGGACAACATAAAGTATAACTGGACAAAAAAAAAATCCTGTTCACAGTTATTCTCCACTGCACATCATTGCTGCAAGGAAACCCACACTGCCACTGAAGTGTGTAACTTTTGCTTAAAATTACATTTCTGCAAAAATTCAGGGGAGAAAGCAGCTCTGATGTGTTTTGAATGGAATTCTTCTTTTAAAAGGCTTTGGGATTTGGAAGACATTTACTCTTTTAATCCATTATATCAAAATCATTGACAAAATCACAATGAAACATTTTGTTCCTTCCTAAAAACAAAAACCAAAGAGGGGGAGAAAAAAAAAATCTCTCACAGAGAATTAAAAAGCATTCAGGTTTCATTCCAACGAGCTGGGCGTCAGGACCTCAGCATTCTTCGAGAAAAGAGATTATTGTCTCCAGCCAGCTCTGGTGTAAGCCTGTAAAATCCTCTGCCAATCTTTTAGATGAATTACCAGCCAACTAATTCCTTTTCATCACCAGTTCATCGAACACTACCTGCATGGAGTAGGAGCTGAAAATTTTATGTATACAGACAGAGCTGTTTTACTAGAATATCTCCCTAGTGACTTACTGTTTTAACTCAGCCTTTGAATAGTGTGCACAAAAACCCTGACATCTTTCTCAACTCATGACAACAACATCCACCTTCTGACCCCCAACACATTTCCACACGTCCTAGGATCTTTTATTATTGATTAGGGAAGGCAATGCCATACAGCTCTGCAATGAAGAGATACCCTCACATATATTTACTCAGATCAGAGATCTCTGCCAAACCTCCCAACTGCCAGCCAAGAATGGAAAGTGCCCAGCTCTACACCCAAGGAGAGATGGAGGGAAGCCAGACTGTCAACTCCTGAGCACCAGCCAAGAGGAAAAGCACTATGAAATAGGTGAAGCCCAGTACATAGGTATTTGCAGCACTGTGAGCTTGTGAGGAGTTCACAGGCCAGGCTGTGAAGCAGGCAGAAGCATGCATCAGTGACTGATTAGACACAGGGCCCCATTCAGCTCTGCATCTGGTCCCAAGAAAATTCATCCTAATTTGGATGAAACCCGTCAGCTAAGATTTTCTGGCAGGTCTCCCTGCAAAATAGTTTGACTTCAATAGAAAACACCATGGAGAAAAACATGGCTTTTCAGCACACTGGTCTTTCTCTCATAGACTCAGCAATTTCCCCCAAACTGTGATGGCCAACACTCGTAAGATAGTCAAGAGAAACTGTTTCTACCATCTGTTGTTTAACCATGGGACTACCTCAGTGTATTTGTTTCTACTGCTGAATCACTCTTCTGTGACGAAAAGGTTACTTAGCTGCAGCATGGCAACTCAGTTCAGTGGTAACCTCTGGATGGAGGAACACAGTGTGCTGCTTACGCCAGACCAAGAATACGCTTCAGTTCCAAAACTACAAGGTTTATGTTACCAACTCCCATCCAATTAGCCCCCAAAACTCATGAAAATTTTGCTGTCCACAATTAATACTGCTCTTGAGGAGCCCAGTGGCCACAGCCAAGAACAGAGGAGCTCATTTGGCCAGGGACTATATTAGTACATTTTTTATTTCAGAAATGTAAAATCTAAGCAGACACACCACTACTGATTGACAGATGACAAACTGAAACACAAACATGCAGATACTGACTTGGGTCTATACAGTAAATGGATGACGTTCTGAGGTTTCAGACCTCATGTTTAAGTGCTGCTATAAAACCGTATAACACCAGACCCAGGAGTAGACCATATTTCTCTTTCATACATCAATCAGATTGGCAACAGTAACAGATTTCCACCTGTAGTTTTCAGACAACCCATCAGCTTGTCAAAAACCAGACCTGAGCTCTATATCTCTTTAGGATCTCATTTTTCATGATGCCCTTTCTTTTTGAGCAGCTGGAATTGCAGGACATATGCAATGCATAGTGACTGGGATGCATTTTGAGATAACATACCCATAGGGCACTAAACCAATGCAATTAGCATCCTCTTCAGACAAAAGACCGATATACGCAGTAAAGTTAATAAAAATATTCAAAAGAAAACTCCAGAATGATAAAAAGCATTATTCTATTTATTTTAATACCACAATGCTCTCGCTCTCATTGACATTCTTAAATAAGATCAGCATTTTTTCCATTTGTCTTTCCATTTCAGGAGATGAGTCCTCATTCCTGTACATGGGGGTGTAATGAACTGCAATCTAGAGGCCTGTGGAAAATATAAATGGTTACCCACACTGATGAAAGACAAGGTCTATTTACTACATGTGTATTAAGTGCTTCTCAGATGGTCAGGAAAACAGAAAAATGATTATACAAAACCAGACAAAACCAGCCTGGATTGTTGTTTATAAGCACATCAAAATGACAAGCACACAGGATAAAAAAGCTGAAGTCCAGAAGTGTCACAAAAGCCACAAATCTCCATGAATAAATTTAAATCATAAATTAGAGTAAAATTTTGAATACTCAAGGAGTACGAAGCAGCACAAGAGAAGTGTCACAAGAGAAAGTATTGGAGGACTGGCATTGAAGCTCTATGAACCAACTGTCAAACCAAAGCAGGAGATGGGACAATACGACCAAGAAGTCCCTTCTAGATCTAGATTGTCATGAGTATTTATCTCTGCTTGACTTACCAGATCTCTGTTTGAAGCAGTGATCTTCCGTCCCTTGTGAAGCAACAGTTACATTCATAGCAGAGGATCGAGATTAGCTGTTAACAGAACAGAGGTAATGACAGATGGGTGAGCACTTGTGCACACAGCACACATACATGCCACACACATTATTCAAACATACCTCTTACATATTTCATCTGCAAAGATATTCTATACATAAAAGGGTGACTACTTATGTATAAAAACTTTTTTTTTTTTTTCAGAAAAACCCAAAGCATGGCTGCAAATCTATGGAACTCCATTTTTACAAGAAAATGTGATTCAATAGCAATGTGATTTTCCAGTTCAATATTAGTCATGTCCAATAAAGAATATCACTGCAAAATCTTAACATCTGAAAAAGGAGATAATTAATTTCTTGCACAGTTGCTACTCAGAGGGTAAATATGGAAAGTAACCACAAATCTGGAGGAATATAATTTCTGAGCACCTCAAGACACTTTCTAAAAGTCCACAAATAGTTTCAAAGTAATTCAAGATTAACTGAATGTGATAGGTATTAATCTGGATTTTCGTTATTTAAGCCTACGTAGTACCACATATACAAATCCATCAGATAATATGCATTAATCAAATAATTTCTAGATGGAAAAAATGTTATCCTTTTCCATACTGCTGGTAAAATACCACTGATTTCCTTGAAAAAACAAAACAAAACAAACAAACAAAAAAAAAAAACAACCAACCAACCAAACCCAAACCAACACCTTTTCTCAACACAGACAATTAAGCACTAGTAATACCAAATTTTCTTCTAGGGATCTGAGATAAATCTCATCCACTGTGTACCAGAAAACACAGAAATAAAATCACATACACCTAAATGCACAGCATGCCTTCATTTCAAACCAGAAGAAAGCATCGAAGCCCATAGGAGAATTGCCCCCAGCGGGGATAGCCTCTATTGACTCACCACTTTTGTTGTGAGAAACTCCAGGTAAACCCAGAAAGGTCTATTACAGTTTTTCCATCTTGAAGTCATCTTTTTAATTTGTTTGCCCCTAAATACTTGTGAAATTCCACAGTAGACAGTATCAGCACCGGAGAGCTATGGCACAACAGCACTAAAGGTCCAGTTTGACTAACTGCATAAAATGTAGTAAATTAAGGCCACAGGTGTATTTACTGCCAGCTGACAATGATTACAAAGCCAGTACCTGGTGTAAGAGAGTGATGGAAAAGGTAAACATCACCCTAAAATGTACCAGGAAGAGACAAAAGAGATAAAGATTTGCCAATGCTTTTCTCTAGAACATTAATGCATTACACAGCAGACTGAGTAATTTTGGTCATCCATCTGAAAAACAGGTTAATATCAGCTGGAATATTCTCTGAGATGGGTTTCAGCAGTGTTTTATGCGAGGGAAGACTGTAAAAAAACCCTACTTTCTTTGACCTAAAAAGCAAAGGAAAAGACAATACGTGACCACATTCTGCAAAGACATCAAGGCTAACCACTACTCAAGGAGAAGTGTCTAAACTAAAGCAAGGGTTTGGCACAAGGACAAAAGGGATTATACCTGCTATGAATACATTCAGACTGGAAGCTAGAAAGTGTCTAGCCGTCAGAGCTCAGAGTAGGGTGTAGCCTCACAGTGGGAATAACATAAGGAAAATAACCTAATTAGTTTTAAGAGGGAGATTGAAAAGTTTAAGAATGTCTCAACAGCAGGGGACTGGATTTGGGAAGTGCCTTTTAGTCCTGCGTTCAAAGAGGAAGACTGATCAGAGAACAACCAGAACCTGTATCTGCATAAATTTCCACTCAGAAGCATTCTTGCAAATTAGCCTCATCAGGTTTAACTAATCACACCTTTAGTTCACAAACATAATCAGATGTTCATGCAAGTTTCAGATACCCGTGTGTACCTGACTATAGGTTAGTATCTGGAGTTATTACGTGAGCCTCTATTTTGCCACTGGTATACGAACCATTCTTAAGAGGGATAAGAAGCACTGTAGCAGCAATATGGCAGAATAAGTGAAGAGGATTTGGGGTGGGTCTGGACACCTGTGCAGGTGTTAGCATGAAAAGTAACACACACTGTAGTAAGTCTAGCATAAAAGTTGAATTAGACTATTTGTAAATATTGTTATTTTTCTTCTGTGTACCATCTCTTCTAACAGCCAGTTTACAATGGTCTAAATGCAACTTTAGGGCCATTTCTACATAAAAATGCATTACATCTGAAAAATCCAAGTTTCTTGTTTTTGTTTTTTTTTTTTTTTTAATCCAAAGGATCAGTTTCATCATTGACATTTAAACAATAAAACACATACAAATTACAGAAGAAATTATAGGTACAAAGAACACATGGGAATTAACACACAGTAATACGTTAGTGCATTCTCAAAACCTCAGAAAAGAGCTGCGATGACACTCAAAGTAAAATCCTATCTCCGCTGAAGCAATACTTCAGTCTTGATAAATGTTTCATCACTGAACTTTATTTCCAATTAAAGTAGTACATCATTAACTACAACAAGCAATAAGAACTCTGAGAGGTGCTGCCTCAGATAAACAGGAAAAGTATCAGCAGATGATTGTTACTTGGTTTTGTTTTACACTACACATCAATGTGTAATTGCTACCATGACTTGAAGCTCTTTTATCATTGTATGTGAGATCCATGCACAATTTTGCAAAATTAGCTCTTTCTCTCTTACACCAGCAGCATTTGTCTTTCCATGAGTTACCCAGAAGTTATCTCCCCAGACCTATGAGGCTCTTGGGCTCTGATTTGGTGGTCTTTCACCCATATCCCATCTTTCACTCCCCAATGTAAGTCACGGTACTGTGACTTGGCATTAATTCCTTGAGCTCAGAAACCAAAGCACTGTCAAAACCCAAACCAACACGATACCAGACATGCAGAAGCAACAATGGAGTGACCACAGGTTTTCTTCATACCGCCTTTTCACTCCAAGAGCATGCCTATATTCCTCCCACCACTTCTCAGAGGCAAACAACGTGCCTGAGCCTACAGAGCTCTGCCAAGAGGAAGCAGAGACAGAGCCACCAGCACTGTGCCAGGCTAAGGGCCCTGCGCAGGAGCAGCCCTGAGCCAGCAACGCTTCTCCCCACACCCACAGCCAAAGCGGAAAGGAAACTCAGCCCACTCGTTGTCCCTCCCTAGGTGTGCTCTTTAGACACTCAACCCTCCTCTGTCCCCGGAAAGACGAGCGATGGGGCGTCGCATGGGGCAGCCCGGCAGCTCCTGCCCCGGGGCACCCATCCCTTCACCCACCGGGCCTCCCCACTGCACCTGCCTCCGCCCCCGCTCCCAGGCTGCCCGCAGACAGGCCCCGCCGCCGGGAAAGGAGGCGCCGGGCAGCCCCGGCCCCCAGCGCCAGGAGGGACAAGGCCGCCGCCCCCATTTCCCCCCCGCTGCGGAGGGGGCGGGCGCGGGGTGATGACGTCTCCGAGGCCTCCCCCAATGGCCGGGCCCGCGGCTCCCGCGCCTCCGAGGCAGCCCCAAGATGGCCGCTGCCCCGGGCGGCCCCGGGCCGAGGCCGGGGCGTCCACAGCGGCTGGGCGGGTTCCGTGGGGCCTTTACACCTCGCGCGGGGTTGCAGCGGGCCCTGAGAGCTCCTCCAGCCCGCTCCCGGGTTGCCCGGCTGCCTACCCGGCACTAGAGCCCGTCCTGTCAGGTGCTGGCAGCCTCGGGGCTGCGGCCCGTCCCGGCTCTCCCCGCCTCCCCCGGGCCCTTCCACGGTGGGTGACCGACCCGCTGGGCTCCAGGTAGCAGCCTTTGCCTGGGGTGCACGCCCAGGGCAAGGGAGCCACCACTGCCACAGCACCCTGAGGCAGCCCGCTAAAGGGCAAAGGAACTAAACCAAACCAAGTGCTGGGCCTTGGTACTTGTTGGAAGCGTTTTGTAGAGCTTGTGTTTCTTGTTAGCAACTAGATGCTGTCCCCCTGCCCCTCCACACAGGAGAAGGTTTGGCATCTGAAGAGCGTGGGTTATCACAGCAGTTATCAAATGTACTGTGCAGAGCTGGGGTTTAGGAAAGCTCAAGGGTGACCTGAGGCTGGGCGTGGTGTGGACTTGGAGCATGAGCCCTTAAAATATCTCTTGGGGGGGGAAAGCAATCAAAGCAGGAGATGGCAGTGATATAATTTGGCATAGCTGCCAGTTTACCTTGGGCAGCAACCTAGGAAAACATGCCAGTAATAAAAGAATGGAAGGCAAATGGCCGTCTTGGTTTGTATTGTCCCTGAGCCTTGCTAATGGGGTAGCAACACTGAACATCCTCCAGCGGAGAAAGACCCTGCTGTATGCCAGCCTGGCCTGCCTTCGGCCCAGCCTCCCCCTCAGCTGGCTGCAGATTGTGTCCGCAGGCAGGTCGGGTTACCTCCTTGAAAAGCGCTTGCCATGGCAGGCGGCAGGATCCTGACTGAACAACTGCTCTGCTGTTAGCTTTATTCCCACCATCCCCTACGCTATTTAAAGACAGACCCTCAGTGAAGAGTCTGGTTAATTTTTTTTTTTTTTTTTTTTTTTCTCCTGGGAAAAACTCAAGCCTATCTGTGGATTTTAATTGCCATGGAAAGCTGATGTGAATTAGAGGTGACCATATGTAGTCAATCTCTGTCTTTCACACACCTGCATATGGCTTTTGGAACATTACGATAGTAAAGCTTATACCACTGTCACAGCGTTTATATCCTGAGATCTTCTGGAAGCCTGGGGCTTGACAAAAAACTAATCTCCAATATAGTGAGACATTTGCAGAAGCTTGCCATTGCGGACTGTATTGCTCTGAAACCTGCACTCTCTTCCTCAGAACTGTCCACAGAAGTGATCTGAATCCTATTTGCTTCTACACACCCCTGGGAAGCTGTGGAAAACCCGCTCCCTCAGCCAGGCATGTCAGGCAAACTTGCTTCTTCCTGCTGGATTTTACAACTGCAAACAAGACTTCAAAACAAAACAAAACAAAACAACTCACCAGGAACACCAGCAGCCCTGCTCTGAACATGTGGGATGCTTCCCTGGATCCCTGCTCATTTCCTGGAGTGAAACTCAGACACACCAGTTCAATGCTGTCCTGAAGTGTGTGGAGGCTTTTTTTTTCCTCTCTCTCCTTCTTTTCTTTTCCCTCCTTCCTTGTGTTGATTTGTGGGGCCAGAATGACTTTGATTTCAGCAAGTTTGCTGTTTATTCACGTCACAAGTTTGACAGCTTTACACCAAATCAGATTGCTGGGTTTCAGGAGAGCTCTGAGGCGTCACTGGGAGCTCCTTTAGATTAAACTCGCCTCCCCGGTCTCCCCCCTCTCCCCCTCCTTCAGAGCCATTTAAACCTCTCTGGGGCTTTAACAGAAACGTGCTCCCAAGACCTGCATTTCATTCTGCCACTAACATGGTAAGTGCTCTTTGCATTTCTCTCGACCTGGGGGCAGAAAAGGAGAAGCTGGTCTCTTTGCCTTGGGGGCTTGCAGAACGTTTTGTGCCCTCTTTAAGATGGGGAAGGACGAGGTCTCTCCTCTACCTGCAGGAGCAGCTTCTGCTGCTGTGGCTTCCCATGGGTGAGCAGATTCTCTGCTTGAGGCTCCAAGCCCTGCCGTCGCCTTGCAGAGATTTAGAGCTGCTGCAGATGGGGCTTAGTTGAAGGAGGGAAGAGGGGTGAATCCAGAGACAGCCCCAGGCTTTGCTACCGTGCAGGATGGGACGCCTGCAGAACTGCAGGGGTAGAAGAGAGTGCGAGCAGCACGGAGGTGTCTGGGCTAGCTTTGTGCTGATTTAGAGACGAATCAAACCCCCAAGGTGGGAGCAACGGACTGGCCAAGGAGAGCCTGGGTCCTCCCCTCACGTTAAACCCACTCGGGACGGTAGCGTTTCCCAAGGGATTACAGGAAACCCGGCCACCTCCCTCGCATACCGCTGCTCGGAGCCTCTCTGCCGCGGGGGGCTGCGGCGGGGGCGGCACTGCTCGGCGGAGGTAGCAGAGGCGGTGCGGTGCCCCCCCCCCCGGGGGGCAGCGCGGGGGGGAAGCGGGCACCCGGGTCAGGGCTGAGAGCTCCCACGGGGGCGGGCGGCGCCTGGCAGGAGCGGCCGGGGCTGTGGGGCTCCCCTGCGACAGGTACCTGCGCAAAGCCCGGGCGGGACAGGAGCGGGAGGGGAACGCTTCCCCGCGGAGCAGGGACCAGCCCGCAGCGCCGGGATGCTTCTCGCCGGGATGCGGCGGGGCCGGAGCAGGGCTGACACCCGCCTCCCTCCGGGGCCCGCCGCAGCCCGGGGGCTGGGAGGGGATATGGGGGGGGCGCTCTCCGCCGAGCGCCCCACCGCCACGGCCCCTTGCCTCCGCAGAGCACCGGCCGGCCGTGCCCGCAGCCGGACTTCGCCGGGGGCCCGGGCTGCGCCTGCCCCTGGCCCGCCCCCGCCGGGGTTTCCAAGGAGACTCGGGCTGCCGTCTGCGCCGCGGAGCCGCCGCCGCCGCACAGCCAGGGCCGGCGGGAGGCTCGGCCGCCGGGTAAGTGCGCTCCCAGCCCGCCGCCGTCGTGGGGAGGTGGCGGGGACGGACACGCACACCCACACACCCGCCCCTGGCCGCGGTCCCGCGGCCGGGCTGGGCGAGGAAGCGGGAGCGGGCTAACCCCTGGGGTCTGCTCCCCCGCAGGCCAGTTCTGCAGCCCGCAGCTCGGTGCCCAGGACGCGGCGTGGCGGGGAGACCAGCTGTCCTCCCAGCTTTACAGAAACAAGCAGGTAAAGGCTCCACGCCCCCCCCCCCCAGCGACCTCGGCTTCTCCCCACGAGGTTCCTGAACTTTCTATCATGTATTGCACCTCCCGGGTTGGTTTACGGCACCAATGAGAACCCTCCCCCGTCACGAATGGGGTAAATGGTGGCAAACCACTTTATTCGGGTGGATTTTGTTCCTTTCTTGAAGTAGTTGTCTCCCCACTGTTGTCCTGTGAAGCTGGGACAGCTGTTGTGGGGTTCCCTTTTCACCCTTCCCCGCTTACAGCGTGTCGCACCAGCTGCCTTTGCGCTAGAGAAGACCAGGGACACGACCAGGGAGTCTCTCAGGCTCTGATCATGCAGAGCCTCATGCTGTTGACTAAAAATAGATAACATGTGCCATCCCGAGACTACCAGGAGTAACTTAATGAGAAATGGTTCCACCAGAATTACCTACTTCTATGAAGGATCAACCATTTTGACCAACAAGCATTTCCTTGTTATTTTATCTTCTCTCTTCTTTCCTTTTTGTAAATCCCATCAAGGGGATCAGAAACTCTGAACAGGCCTAGATGAAGAAACCCCAGACAGATCACTCTAATCAAATATACTTGGAATGATATTTTGACACAGTGAAGTCAATGGAAATTCATTTACTAACTTCAAGGTCCCTGGATTCAAACCCTAGTTCCAGACATCAATGTATTTTGTTCTTTGGCTCTACCTCAATCATTTAAATCTCTGCTTTTCCACCTGTGGTCAGCAGATGCCCAGGGTCCTTGTCAGAAGACCCTTTGTCCTCCCAAAGGAGTCTCTGGAGCTATGGTCAGGAGGCAAAAATCTCTCTCCAAATACGTAGACTTCCCATGAAAAAGTGTTAGGCATTTGCAAATCAAAACATACCTGTTCAGCTCTTGACACCAGGGATTATCTCAGATCTGTATATGCACTGGGACTGGCACAGTAGGGTCCAGGATTGAAGGGATCACTGAGTACAACCGTATTATAATGAATGGCTGCCTCATCTTCCTTCTGCACTCTACCCCCATAAATTGCCTGCAGGTCCTCCTTCTCCTTTTCCCTACCAGCCAACTATAAATGGGAATGAGAGGGGTGCAAAGGGATGCTCACACACAAGGAGATCTGTCAGCTACTGTCATGCATGCCCATGACTGTTTCTGGATGTTCACAGGGCTACCTGTAATTCTTTTCTGTTATTATTCCATGGTTAACAGTTTGGGGTTTTTTTTTGTTGTTTTGTTGGTTTGTTGTTTTTGTTTTTTTTTTTTTTTTTCAGAGTAATCTCAAACACTTGCTAAAGAATAAAGGAAGTCAAAGTAAAAACTGAACAGTCATGCCACTTAGATTTACAGAGACAAGAGGCTAGAGGGAGTGGGTTGAGTTCACAAAACAAACACCCAGATCATCAAATCCAAGCAGCCCGTACCATAGGGCAATTGCTATTAAGTTACAGAGTCAACATCTATTCATCAATATCTCTATTCCACAGCTTCAAGATACCTTGCTTCAGAAGGAAGAGGAACTTGCTAGGTTACATGAAGAAAATAATAACCTCCGACAATACCTGAATTCTGCCCTGATTAAGTGTTTAGAAGAAAAAGCCAAGGTATTGTGTTCAAGCCTGTTGTATAGACATGTGCAGAAGAAATGGGCTGAATATGTACATGCCATTAAAATGTATGTAAAGTCTAAGAGTGTAGACGACCTGCAGCATGAGATCTATTTAACTTCATAGAGCTGCCAAATTGCTGGTCATGGATCTAAGGTGATGGTTTCCCCCCAGGAATGACATCCTAGCGGGTTCTGACTGTGAAGGCAATATAGCCCATGGAATAACTAAGTTTAGTGTAAAAGTAAGTTATCTATAAGTAAGTCAAGTTTATAAACAAGATAAAGTTATTCCATCTCATGCTTTTTTTCAGTGAAAAGTTCAAATTTGAACATATATTCTTGAGTTATCCCTTTTGATAAGGATTCATTTTTTCTTTTTTTATGTTTTGGGTGCTTTCTGGTTTACATTTTGTTTTCTCATCTTCCAATGATACATTTTATTAATTTACATTAGAATACTGATCTATTTTTTTTTCATATTTATTAATTAAAAAGCTGTGTGGTTTTTAGAAAGGTGAAATACAAAATTAAACACTTCAGGCTGGATGGATTCTATTAAACTAAGTGTGAAGGTTTGTTTTTTTTTTTTTTAATTAAATATTTTGATTCTCTGTGTCTCATCCAAAAGAAAGTAAAGATAATTGTTTCTGGTCAGCTTAAAGACATTTTTTACTATTCCAGCTTTGCCCGTGAAACTGAACTATTAATTATTTGCTCAGCTCTGTGGATTGAGCACGAGGTTAAAAAGCCTGTAAAAAAATAGCAGACTTTCCTTTTACATCCTATTCTGAGTTGACAGTGTGTCATGTCGCTCCTCCCATGCCAAGACCTGGCTCCTGGCAGTAGAAAAGTTCTCCTTTGGACATAGCAGGGAGACACAGCCACCCCTCTATTTCATGTGGAGGAGCGTCCAGTGTGAAACCACCACAGGAGGTGTCTGAGCGTTGAATTCATGATGTGGTGGGGAGCTTCCTTGTTATTCCTGTCTTCCTTTGACCATCCGTGGATGCCTGAAGGGCCCTTGTCCTCGGATAATGACAACTGAGGTGGATTAATGAGCTCAAGGCCACTCAGTCTGCTGCTCTGAGCTCTCCCTGGCCAGGATCACACCTGCCTCAGTATGACTTAACTTCGCTTCCTCCCTCCCTCTTTGTCAGGCTGCCACATTCCCCCCCATACCCCCGCTCACCTGCCAAATGCTGCTGGCAGCGACAGCACGGAGGAGTGCTGTACGGCCCGGCAGGAGCTCTCATTTCACGCCGTACTGAGTGAGAATGCAATCAAAGCACGGGCCTTATTGACATTGTCAAATTTTTCTCTTTCAGGGAGTGGATTGTTGCAGAGACTGTAAAGACACAAAATAGTTATATCAATATGATTAAGCACAGGGTGGGAGAAAAAGTATCTTTTATAAGGACAGTAGTAACCATCTTGCCCATCTAAAATCTGGGATCAGAAACATATTGCTTCCAGGTAACTATAAATTCAGATTTTAATCTTCTCTCTCCACCTTTTTTTATTTTTTTTTTTTTTTAATAGAAACTGCTATCCTGCCACAGCCCAAAAACCTGTGCTATTCTCAAAAGCACCAAGAGGAGATTAAAAGAGGACCACTGCTTTGTTTCTCAGGAAACTCCTCATGCTTCCAAAGCTAGAAGGAACCTCTTTAATGAATTCACTGCCTGTGAAGAGCAAGCCAGCCCTGCTGTGGACAGCTGGGTCTTGCAGACTTTAGGATTAAAAGATGTCAACACCATTGATGAAACTTCAGCTAACTACAGTGCCC